GTAAAGTACAGATACTTGAAAAATTTACTTAAGTACAGTAACGAAGTAAAACTACTCCGTTACTGTCCACCACTGGTTACATATGAGTTCGCTCATTTCTGCATCTCCGTCTTCTGTGTTTTTGATCAGTACATTCTGGACTCATTCAGGTGATGCATAATAGCATCCCTGAGTGTATAACAGTGAAAACACGAAAACGCGGAAAATTCTGTGTTTGGCGGGGAAGCGTTGTCTCATAAATAACGGAAAGTTCCATGTTTAGCAGGGAAAGAGATAACAATTATATATGAAAAGATGTTAGTAGAAAACTAACAGGAAATATTGCAGAGAACAGTCTCACTTTAAAAATGTGGAGCAGATTTTCTCCGATCATTCCACTCTACCAGATTTTGTCTAAATTCATTTAAGAATACAAATGTGTTTGACAGAACATAACTATGAGACAGCTAGCAGTTGAAAGCTATAGGTCTGCAAAATTATATCAAATGTTATTTTCATTCATGTTTTATTCTTTGAAGACAAATATTTGTTGGTCTTTGATGTAGCGCAGTATTTCTTGGAGTTTATCGTCAAGCATTTTACATATTTTCATTGCTAGTTTGGAGTGTCCAAAGTGTATGGTTTATTTTATTTTAAAGTAAATTAACAAATTAACCTAATACACAAATAGATTAAAACATGGTCATCCATCAGCCCCTTATGTAGCCCTTCTCCAGTATAAACCCTCAAGGCAGGTCTTCAGTCTTTCTTACAGTGAAGCCGTGGAGCTGAATAACCGCACTCTCTGTGTCTCCATTCGGGCTCTGTGTTCTGGCTGATGTTCAGGTGCGCTGGCCCTTTAAGAGCAGTCACTGAAGCAGTCAGTCCTGTGTTGGTGCTGCTGCTGATGGCTGTGCTGTGAGTTGATTGGCTGTGGCTGTCAGGGCTGAGGTGCTGGAGGGATGCTGCTACGCCTCTCCCTCTCTCTCCCTTTCTCTCTCTCTCTCTCTCCCTCTCACTTGCTTGCATCCCTCCGTATAATCCACATCTAGGGCAAGCAGGCTGAGAGTCAATCCAGTGCTCAGCTCCTCTCTGCAGGCTGGGAAAAGAGAGACAGGAAGAAGGCAAGAAAACACTTCCCAAAGCAGGAGGAAACGCAGAAGGAAGAAATCTGGCAAGCAGAGACATACAGAGGAAGATTTGATCACGGATATCATTTATATATATAGAAATTGTTTATATATATATGTAATATATATATATTTGTACACACGCATATCAATATTTATAGAATTATATATGTATACATATATACCTGTATATAACTGTATTTGTGCTTGTCTGTTTATATCAATATTTTTATATGTATTTGTGTGTGTGTAAATATATACATATATAAACAAATGAATATATATATCTATGAATTTATATACGTATCACTGTGAACCAACAGAAGCAAGAAGAGAACTCAACCATCGGGGCTGGTCTCTGATTCCGAGATCATATACACTATTTTTATTATATTTCCAAACCTTTTGCATCGACCGGAGGAAGACCACCAAGCTTTTTCTATTTTTCATCGCCCTGTTGCTACCTACTCGTCTCATCTTTTTCTCAATCGGGAGGAACAAAGAGGAGGATAACAGGGTTCGTGAAGATTCCTGCTGCCGTTCCGTGAGCCGAGCTGCACTGCGCGCTGCGTTTGATCTGAGCAGGCAGCAGCAGCAGCAGTGAGATAGAAAGAGACAGAGAGCGCCGCACCGCGTGAACTAGCCAGCATGCACAAACATCACCACTGCTGCAAGTGCCCAGAATGCTATGAAGTGACCCGCATGGCCGCCCTGCGCAGGATGGACGCCCCGGCATATGGAGACTGGCAGCCCGAACCCTACGGCTACCCAGCTGGCTATGGAGGCGGCCAGACCTTACCACCCCAAACCTCGGGCGGAGGAGGGGGAATGGGTGGAGGGGGTACATTGGGAAGAAGTAAAGGGAAAATGATGTCAGCTGGGGGTCCTGGAGGCCCCAACCCCAAGAGCCAATCCAAGGGCGTCCCCAAGGTGAACGGTAACAGCTCAGGAGGCCAAGGAGGATGGTGGCCCGAGTGCACCTGTTCCAACCGGGACTGGTACGACCAGGTAAATGCCGTTTCTGTGCCGCTGGGGGCATTGAGAGTAGGCAGCAGGCGGTAGGCAGTCGGTGTATATGTGCTCGCTAGGTTGAAACTGAGCAGAATCAGAAAGCTCCCCTGTAGCTGCTAGAAGATGCATCGTTTTTTTCAAGGGATTCATCCAGTGTTGATCCTTTCATACTGCATGTGCTGTAATCTTACAGTATGCTCGTCAAGATTGATTCATGCAGAGGAGTTTAATCTTCATGTATTTACTGCTCCATCAGTGCTTTATGGTTTCATCAATCCCCTACGTACATACTTATCTAAACCCTCATCTGACAAGGACTGACAGGGCCACTGTGACCACGCAACAAGTGCATGTAGCTCCGCCAATTTAATTCAAGGATGGCAGTGACCTGCCAACACTGCTGACCAGGCAAAACACATGATCAAATCTAATATCCAGCAAGTAATGGATTCTAGATTTGTGAGGTGAAGATGTGGATGTTTTATGGATGTGTGTGTCCACGTTTCTCATTAGTTTCCAGTCTGCTGTTCTAGTCGCTCATTGAGAGGCGAGGCATCTTGTGAAGTATAATACACACTTTTTGTCTGTGACTGTTTTAGCTGCATTTTAACCTCATATTCAAACCGAATCAGGGAGCAGAAGCTGTAATTAATGTGTGTGTGTGTGTGTGTGTGTGTAAGTGGCAGCAGGGGTGGGGGCAGGGTTGCTCTGAATGTATAAAATGGAGGAAGCAGGCTCTCGTGTGAGAACGAGCCAGCATGCATGCTCTGTGCCTTCAGTGTGCGTGCATGTCTACGGTGTGGGGCTGCGTGCGAGTGCACAGGTTTTTATTGGTATTTGTGCATGGCCGAGGGAGAGAGAACACAGAGAGAGTGGCGGAGACGCAGAGAAAATGGAGGGTGAGATCTCGGTGGCAGCGAGGGAGAAATTTCACCAAGCGCAGGGAGGGAAGGCGTGAGCAAGGAGCTGACTAATTCTGCGTCCGTTCAGATGATGGGAGAGGCATCAGTCAAAAGCAGTGCGGTTTTTCACTCATTCCTTTTATTTTAATCATGAATTATGCATGGTTTCTTGGCAGCATTTGCTGTAAACCGAATAAATGAACCCTTAAGATGTGACATTTCCTGTTTATTCTCTGTTTCTGCGATAATTTCCTTCTCGTTTTGATGTATGGCGTCCAGAGAGGTGAAATAAATCAAGCATATATCTTCTCCCGTGCACCAAATGCGATACCTGATAGGCACGAGCACTCAGTTGATGGAGTGTATGTTTAATTAATGAGAAGGAAATTGTTTAACAGAGGTATATAGGAGAGTGACACTATTAAAGCTTCTCGTATGTGAGGAGGAGACCATGGATCATCTTGCAGGTTTCTCCTCCTCTGGCCAGGCTGTTGCCTGTCAAGATTATTAAAGAGGCTTTAGTTTTCTTTGAAGGCCTTGTGTATGTATTTCATTTGCCAAGGCTATCGCGGAGCCAAAGAGGAGACGCTTTAAGAGAGAAGCTGTGGATTTGTGTGCTAGGGTTTGCCCCCGACTTTCTGTAAGGCCACATTTATTGGTTTCTAGCGCTCTGAGTGCGTATAATATATAAACACATTCATATCTGCAGAAAACATAATATTCATTGCGGGTGAAATCATGTAGAAGATTCTCGTTCGTTTTGTGGCAAATCAAAAGATCGTTTTTCTCGCACTGTGTTATTGTGGCCAAATTGCATCACCCCATCGCTTCAGCTCTGAGTTGTGCTTTAATGGTGAAGTGTGTGGGGTTTCTGCACCACCAGCATCACCAAACAGATAATAACTGTTTTTAACATTCCCCATTGGGAAACTAAAACAGATCCTTCCCCTAATGTTGAAAGCACTGCAGTTTTTAGTTTTTCCTTTAATAGGAGTGTTTGTATATTTGGAGAATGGATTAAAATTTTTAATATGACATTTGTTTTTCCAGAACAAAGGTCCAAAAAGAAGAGGTATATAGGAGAGTGACACTATTAAAGCTTCTCGTATGTGAGGAGGAGACCATGGATCATCTTGCAGGTTTCTCCTCCTCTGGCCAGGCTGTTGCCTGTCAAGATTATTAAAGAGGCTTTAGTTTTCTTTGAAGGCCTTGTGTATGTATTTCATTTGCCAAGGCTATCGCTTCTGGGGATAATTTGAATGAATTTTGGCTTAGAATGAGGGTTGAGCAGTAAAAAGGGGGACAAATAAACATCTCTGATGCACAAAATAAAGGAGTTCCAAACAGATCACAGCGATAACATCAGCAGGGTGTGAGAAAAAAAAAAAAGTAAATACAAAAATACTACAATAACAAGATAATAATATTTAGGTAAATACATTTAAGAGTAACAAAGGTATAATGCAGTATAAAAACCAGCATAAATAAGTAAAGTTATTATCACATTCCTAAGTGATCTAATACAGGCTTCCATATTTTCCAAAATATATCTAGCTTATCATTGTTAATAAATCGTAACTTCTCAATATGAATAATAAATAAAATATCAGTCCAGTATTTGTGAAGTTTACAACATGTCCAAAATGAATGTAGAAGTGTACCCTCCGCAACCTTGCATTTATTGCATATCAGTGACACTTCAGGGAAAATCTTGTGCAATTTAGTTTTGCACACGTATACTCTGTGTAGAGATTTGAATTGAATTAAGTTGTGTCTAGTATTAATTGAACAATCATGTATATTCTGTAGGCATTCCTCCCATTGCGCATCCTCAATAGTGAAACCTAAATCCTCCTCCCATGCTTTCCTAATTGAAGTTGTGTCACTATCCACCAGATCAGTTAATACATTATAGAAATATGATACTGCTTTTGAGTTTCCGGCTTTAAATCGTTTTTTTTCCTCTAATTTTCCATGCTTTTTTAGTTGTTCAAAATCAGGAAAAAAATTTCTAACATAGTCTCTGATTTGCAAATATCTAAAAAAGTGAGAATTTGGTAACCTGAACTTTGATTGGAGCTCTTTAAAAGACAAGAAATACCCATTCATATAAAGTGAGCCAACACAGCCTATTCCCTTCTGTTTCCAAAGTGAAAAAACCTTATCATTAAGAACGGGAACGAAGGAGTGATTCATACATATGGGACTATCAAGATATACATTAGGAGCTTTAATATACATTTTAATTTGTTTCCAAATTTTTAAAGACTGGCCTGTAACAAAATGATTATTATAGATAAGCTTACTAACCTTTCCTGGACTATTGCATAGTGCCTGCAGTGAAGAGTTAGAGCAAAGGGCTTGTTTAATTCTAAGCCATTCACAGGTTCCTTCTGATGGATGGATCATCATTCTACCAAGAGAATATATTCAAGTGTGCTGCCCAATAATATGCTTTAAAGAAAGGTAACCCAAATCCCCCCTTCTCCTTAGATTTAAAAAAGTGGTTTTTTATTAATTCTTGCTGTTTTATAATTCCATAAAAACTGAAAAATTATCTTGTAGTTGTTTAAAATAGGATTGTGGTATACATGAAGGGATAGACTGAAATAAGTGGAGGAATCTTGGTAGGCTCACCATCTTTACTGCATTAATTTTACCTACCATTGAAATTGGCAATGTTCTCCAATAGTCTATATTATTTTTTAATTGATCAATCCTCTTTTGCAAATTGGCTCTTAGAAGGTCTTTTGGTTTTGCAGTTATTATGACACCAAGATAAGTAAAAGAGTTTTCTGCTATCTTGAACGAAGTGGATCTTATATACTGCTTAAAAGTGTTGGGCATAGTCATCAGGTCACTTTTTTCCCAGTTAACAGTAAAACCTGATATATTCCCGAATCTTGTAATTGAAGTGAGGAGATGTGGAATAGACTTACTAGGATTTTTTATAAACAAAAGTATATCGTCCGCGTAGAGTGAAATATGTTGTGGGAGGCCACCTATGAATGGATTTAAATGTTAAAAAAGCAACACAAAGTAAATCAAGATATCTGGAGGTGATGCATATGTACTGTTCTTGCTAGTGCTGGATGCTTTTCTGTTGTGATTCTGTGATTTCTTTATATTAATATTAACTTCTCGATGGGGCTATATGCTAAATTACACTCCATATCCTGCTCGGTCGCCTGTCTGTCAGTGTACGTGTGCTCAGGAACTGCGTGCATCACGTATGTTGAAGTGTATTTGAAGAAATCTGTGGGAATGAAGGAGCAGATTTTTAGAGAGGCTTTACTCCTCAGATGTCCTCGGCTCTTACCCCCAGCTGCGATACAGACATCCTCCATCTTAGAAATGAAGCATCTGCATCATATCAAGAAGGATGTTTTTTTGTTAACTCATCCTTGTAGCTGCAAACATATGGACCATGCTGAAATGATGTTGAAATATATGTGAAATTATGTGTTCTGGCTGCATTACAATTAGAGAGAAAGGCAAATGGATGCTGTTTTTTAGCTTCTCGTTGTCTCATTCATAAGATCAACCATTACTATAGATGATTCATAGATCATTATCTTCCTCAGTCCTCTCGAGATATGAAACTTAACAAATAAATCATGTTAAATGCTGCATATTAAATAGCAGGGGAACTATAAAACATTTATTTTCATCAGTAAAACAGTAGTAAAGCAAGCATAGCATATTTCTTGTGTCTACTAAATGCAATATTTTATTAGATAAAATATTAATTGAAGAATTAAAAATGGATATTTAATAGCTCTTACACTTGCGTCATTGCATGAGTTAAGCAGTGAATAATATTAATGAGCAACAGGCATTTAATATGTAATTATTTCCTGGAGCAAATGACGCATTTTTTTTGTTAGCCCTGTTGTAATTGTCCTAACTTGGGTACTGTGTAATTTGGTAATATGGACACTGTATAAAATGCTACTCACATTTTATTATCCTATGTAGAAATTGTTTTTTTTTTCACATTGTGCATTCTATAAAGACAAACAGAATTTTAAGTTAAAATTATTATTTAAAACCTTTTAAAAAAGATTTAGCCTAGTGATTTGGTGTGGAGCATCG